GAGAGAGAGAGAGAGAGAGAGAGAGAGGCGTGAGCGCCTCCGATCTCGCTGGAGAAAGGGAGTGACTGAGGCCGGGAGCAGAAGACAGAATGCTTTAGTCACCTCTGCCTGAAGACGCTGGGCTGCAGCACTGGTCGGGTAAGGGGCTAGGGAGTCTCCCCAAAAGCCTTGAAGGCCCCCCTGCACCAGCTCTAAGGGACATCCCAGAAGTTAGCATCAGTGGGACTTGGCAGCTTTGATCTCAACAAGTAAGTTTCTGCTTTTCCTCCTCCGCTCTCCCCGGCTCCGGCTCCCGGCTCCTGAGGGAGGATGGACACTTGGCCGTGGGGTGGCGGGGTCGGGGGCTGGGCGTTGGTTGCAGCCTTTCACAAGGAACCTGTCAGAAGAAAAGGAAAAGCTCAAGGAGGGTCCAAAGTGCACCAGGAAATTAGAGATGTCTGTGGCCAGCCAGCAGCTGCCCTAGGGTGGGGAGTCCCTCCTCCAGAGGACTGTAAACATCTCTGCTCCCTAAGCTGGAGAACCTGGGGTTCTCCCTTTCTAGGAGGATGAGAGACCAGGGTCCTGGGAAGAGGGCAGGAAGGGCCGTGACCCCCTGGGCAGCAGCTTTACCTTCCCTGGGAGGAGAGGGGGCGGGTGGGGCCGTGATTCCCTTAGCCTTAGATCCTCAGCTTAATCTTGCTCTCTCTTTTAAGTCTGGCCAAACTGGGAAGGCCAGCTCGTTGTTTCTGCCACCTGTCAGCCTGGGCCATTTCCTATGTGACTCCCTTTTTCTTTTGAAACACCTTTTACACTGCTCCAAAGGCTCCCGGGACAAGGATGGGGCTGAGTAGGGGTGGCCTTGTTCCATCCTCCTCACCAGGGCTGCGAGCATCTCTTCCGACTGCCGCTCTGACATCCCTGCTTCTGTCTGTGCCCTTCCTCAAACAGGGCTTTCCATACCAGGCTGTGAAACAGACCTGGGTCAGTGCTGGCCGCTCAGACCCTGTCTGTTTCCAGACCCCCCAAAACAGGGGATGGGGCTTATTTACACCCCAGCGCTCTTCCAAGAGCCCTTTCTAACACCAGATAAGGATCAGTGGGAACGAGCACGTTTGCTAGTACTTTATTCTCTTTTAATCCTCTTAACAACACAGATTACCACCTCATTCTACAGGTGAGAAACAGTAGCCCAGAGAGGCGGCTTAACTTGCCCAAGCGACACAGCTTATAAAGGGAGATTCACACCTGGGTCTGACTGCAAAACATCTCTTGTCTTCATCATAAGCAATCTGTGCGTTCTGGGGCTTGCTAGTTCCCCAAACCCTTTCCCACGTGAGGAAGGACAGTGAGGAGCTCCTGAGGAGTCAAGGTGCTATGCTAGGGCACTGCGTGAGTTAATCCTGACCCCATTCCTGTGAGGCAGTGAGTGCTCCTGTTTTATGTATGAGAGGAAAAGAATTTGGAGCGCTAAGCGGCAGTGCTATTACCCTCTAAACCCCCGGTCCTCTGGCTTCACATGAGGGGCTTTCCATTATCAAAGAGCAACCCTGCAAGGCTTCTCCCCGCCCCAGCCCAGTGCCTTTTGCTCAGAAGTAGGTGAAAATCCCATCAGCTGGTGTCCTGGACTCTGAAGAGAGCAGAGTGAATGCTCTGGGATCAGAAAGAAGAGCCCTGGCTTGAGCTCTGACATGAAAAGCTTGGTCAGTTTCACCAGGGTTGTAAACTTCAGAGCCAACCCCAGGCAAATCATTTTGCTCAGAGATGAGGGGCACGGCCCTCAGCAGGGGTCCTGGGACACAGGCTGTGTGCTCCTGGGAAGCTCAGCACCAGGGGCACCATTAAAAGAAAGCAAATTTCACCTAGAGAACTTGCCTGCACACTCTCCACAAGGCCCAACAATCCCCCCTGGACTTCCTACCTAGCTGCCCAACAGAAAGGAAACCCACCGCTAAAGACGGCCCTTCCAAGAGCCACTGGGTGCTGCTGGCATTCCTCACAGGCAGCATTTCTTAAGAAGTGTGTCTGCATTAAACAGAAAATGAGTATTCCATCAGGAAGCAGTTCAGCCGGAGGATGCTCGCTCTGCTTGGGCCTGCCCAAGGCAGCGCTGCCTCCCCTGGCTGAAGTCAGACCTCAGAGGGATCCTGCACATGGGTCCCCCTGAGCCTTCCGCCACCTCCGCCCACTGTGGGTCCAGCAGACACATCAGTGTGGTGAGCACAGTGCTCTCTTGGTCTCTCTGCTTCTAGCAGAAGGCTTCATAGCTAGCAAAGTCTCATGAGGGCTCTCTGCAAGGGCTTGACTCGGCTTCTTGTCAGAAATTCTGAGATTCTAAAGGTTGTTCTGGTCACCTCTGATGTAGTCACCCCTGCAGGGGAGAAATGACTAGTGTCCCTTTTCCAGTCCCCGTTTGCTCTTACAATGACAGGATTCTGCCTGCCTTCTGTGGGCAAAGCCACCAAAAGCTATGTGGCCCATCCATGCACTGGAAAACTACATTTACTTCTGGTTTTTGTTTTCCAAACAGTTCAGTGGCCACTTATTTGATCACATAGCATGCAGGAATAATTAATTTTTGAAGACCTTGGAATGTGGTCATTTGGGCAGGAGATTCATGTGGTCATTCTCCATTTAGGAGAATGTTAGCAGAAGCTTGCTTGCATGTTCTGCTCCAATACTGATTCAATTTTAAGGCTGGGGGTGGGGGATGACGGAGAGGGTGCAGGGGGTGGGGACAGGAATCCATTAGGTAGTTCAAGGGGGCTGTTTCTACATTAAACTTTTCACTGTGTGCGAAGCTCAGAGCAGTCTCTGGGAGCTGGCAGCACGCCTAAGAGGGGACCCTTGTCAGATGACTACTGAGGCTGTTGCAGGCATGGAGGATTTTTTCTGCTGTTTTTTTCCTAAGAACAAGAAGAATAGGAGTTCAGGCATAAAGGATTGTAGGGAGGCATTGAATAAAAATACCTGAATGTATTGTTTCAAAAAAGATTTGTGAAGTGGCTTTCCTTGAAATAATTTTAAGTAGAGCAGACAGCTTCCTATTGCTGAAGGAGGGGTGGAGGGGCAGTGTGGCCGCTGCTGCAGCCTCTCTGGTTCCTCCTACCTTGACATTCTGATAAGGAAGCTATTCTAGTCCTGAGAGCCCAGGATGCCTGTACGCCTTGCCAAGAGGCCTGTTAAGTTAAATGTCAGAGCCAAACCTTTAACACATGACCCTGGAGTTCTAGGCTGGGGTGTAAATGTTAAGTTCGATTTTCATTCCAGGACAGCCTAGCTTGGGGGCAAAGGTAGGGGATAATCTGACCAGTTGGCAGGTGGATCAACCCATAGGGTGGCCAGAAAGTGTGGTGACAGAACATCAGAGGAGAGCGGGAAGATCAGGATTGTGATCTCATTCGTGGCTCTTCGAGTTGGTTGTTGGGGCTGTTGTGCTTCTCACCCCTACATGTTCTCTTGCATTTCAGGCTCCCTGTCTTACCATCTGGGAGGCCCCAATGCCATCACCTTATACCCCTTCTTGGGCTCAGAAAGGAAAAGGAGGGAAGATTCTGGGGGCATCTCAATGCTAGCTGCGGCCCAACCCTCTGAGAATCTTATTCTCAGATTCTGCCACCTCCCACCCACCACAGGCCACATTGGGCCTTGAGCACTTGGAACGTGAGCAGAGTGCAGGATTCAGCCCAGAAGAACAAGCGCATGAGGTGCTGCCCTGCTTCAAGAAGGTGACCATCCCTCAAGGCTAACAGAAGGCATAGGAGTCCAGGCCCCAGGGCCCTTTATTAGATGAACACAAAGTGTTCCTCATATTCTTTCACAAAAGTATTTGGAGCCCCTACCACAGGCTAGACCTTGCACAGGCACCTGAGATAGAAGGTTGGATCATTTGCGCACTGCCTGCCCTGACCTTAGGGGAAGGCAGACCTGCTCAGGAATAAGTTACAGCCTCGGAGACAAATGCCACTGTGGATAGGCACAGAGGTCCACAGGGAGTGGTGGTGCCAGGGGAAACAGGAAATCCCTCCATGGGACTTTGCAAGACAGATGTGCTAGTGATCATACCAGGAGGTGAGAGCACAGGTTAGACACAGGCAGTTGGAAAGGAGATTAGAAAGGCCAAAGTGGAGAATGCATATAGTGTATATAAACAGAATCATACAGTATGTAACATTTTACTCAACATAATTACTGAGATTCATTCAGGGGTGTGTGTGTGTGTGTGTGTGTGTGTGTGTGTGTGTGTGTGATTGCTGGATTGCTGGGTAGTCATCCATAGAGTAAATATACCATAGTTTATTTAACCATCTACCCATTGAAATACATCTAAGTTGTTTGCAATTTGAGGCTGTTATGAATAAATTGTCTATGAATATTTCTATACCTGCTTTTGTGTGAACAGAAGTTTTCATTTTCTGGGATAAATGCCCAGAAGTGCAATTGCTGGGTCAAATGGTAGTTGCATATATTTTTTAAAAACTGTCAAACTGTTTTCCATAGTGACTATACCATTTTACGTTGACACCAGAAATGGACAAATGATCTTGTTTCTCTACATCCTTGCCAACGGGTAGTGTTGTTGCTATTTTTTGTCACTGTTTGATAACTTACTCTGGTTTTAATTTGCATTTTTCTAATGTCTAAGGATGTTGGCCATCTTTCCAAGTGCTTATTTGCCTTCTACATATCCTCTTCAGGAAACTATCTTTGGCCCACTTTCTAATTGGATTAGTCTTTGCTGTTGTTTCCACTGAGGTTTTGGGAGTTCTTTACATATATTTTATACTAGTCCTTTGTCACGTAAGTAGTTTGCAGGTGTTTTCCCTCACTCTGTCATTTGCCTTTTCATCTTAACAGTATTTTTCAGAACAAACATTTTCAATTCTGATACAGGTTAATTTATCAGTTTTTATTTTTACAGATAGTGCTTTGGTGCCAAATCTAAGATCCCTTTGCTTGCCCTAGATCTTGAAGAGTTTCTCCCACTGCTTTAAATGTATATATCTATATCTATATCTATATCTATATCTTATATTTAAATCCATGATCCATGTTGAGTTAATTTTTGTGTAAGGTCTAACTCTGTGGTCAAGGTTAATTTTCCCCTTATGGATGTGATTGCTCCTTCACCATTTGTTGAAAAACCTACCCATTCTTTGTTGAATTTCTTTCGCATTTTTGTGGAAAATAAGTTGAGCATCTTTGTTCCATTGATCTATGTGGCTGTCCTTCTGCCAGTATCACATATTATTGTATAGTTTTGAAATTAGGA